GAAATTCTTTCTCTTTTGGCTCTTTGTGAGGATTAGGTACCAAGGTGACTGTGGCATCATAGAATGAATTTGGTAGTGTTCCTTCTGTTTCTATTTTATGGAATAGTTTGAAGAGAACTTGGAGTTAGCTCTTCTTTGAAGGTCTGGTAGAATTCTGCACCAAAACCATCAGGTCCTGGGCTTTTTTTGGATGGGAGACTTTCGATGACTGCTTCTATTTCCTTGGAGGATATAGGACTATTTAATTGATTTACCTGGTCTTGATTCAGCTTTGGTAAGTCGAATCGATCAAGAAAGTTGTCCATTTAATTTAGATTTTCAAATTTTGTGACATATAGACTTTTGCAGTAAGTCCTAATGATTGTTTGAATTTCCTCAGTGTCTATATTTATGTCCCCCTTTTCATTTCTGATTTTGTTGATTTGGATGGTGTCTCTCTGCCTTTTAGTTAGCTTGGTTAAGGTTTTGTCTATCTTGTTGATTTTCTGAAAGAACCAGTTCTTGGTTTCATTGATTCTTTGAATTGTTTTATTTGTTTCTAATTGATTGATTTCAGCCCTGAGTTTGATTATTTCCAGTCGTCTACTTCTTTTTGGTGTGTTTGCTTCTTCTTTTTCTAGGGTTTTTCAGTGAGCCATTAAGTTGCTTGAATGAGCTGTCTCGAATTTCTCCTTGAAGGCACTTAGTGCTATGAACTTTCCTCTTAGCATTGCTTTCATTGTGTCCCACAAGTTTGGGTATGTTGTGTCTTAATTTTCATTGAGTTCTAGGAAGACTTTAATTTCTTTCTTTATTTCTTCCTTGACGCAGCTGCCATTTAGTAGCAAGTTGTTCACTTTCCATGTGTGTGTAGGCTTTTTGCTCTTTCTGGTGTTGCTGAGGTCCAGCTTTATTCCATGGTGACAGGATACAAGGGATTATTTCAATCTTCTTGTATGTGTTGAGGCTAGCTTTGTGACCAACTATATGGTCTATTTTGGAGAAAGTTCCATGAGGTGCTGAGAAGGAGGTAAATTCTTTTGTTTTTGGATGTAAGGTTCTGTAAATGTCTGTTAGGTCCATTTGATTCATGGCCTCTGTTAGAGACATTGTTTCTTTGTTTAATTTCTGTTTTGTTGACCTGTCCTTTGTTGAGAGTGGGGTGTTGAAGTCTCCCACTCTTAATGTGTGGGGATCTGTATGTGCTTTAAGTTTTATCAATTTTTTTTTTTTTACAAATGTGGGTGCCCTTGTATGTGGGGCATAGATGTTCAGGATTGTGATGTCTTCCTGGTGGAATTTTCCCTTGATGAGTATGAAGTGTCCTTCCCCATCTCCTTTGATTAATTTTGGTTTTAAGTCTATTTTATCAGATATTAGAATGGCTACTCCGGCTTGCTTTTGGGGTCCATTTGCTTGGAAAACCCTCTTCCAACCCTTTACCCTCAGGTAATGTCTATCTTTGTGACTTAGGTGTGTTTCTTGTATGCAACAGATTGCTGGCTTTTTTTACGTATCTATTCTGTTAATCTGTGTCTTTTTATTGCAAAATTGAGTCCATTGATGTTGAGAGAGGTTAATGACCAGTGATGTTGGCTGTGGTCATAAGGTTGTGTTCTTGGTTGCTTTTTGTTTTACTGTAGTGAGGTTAATTATTTCCTGTGTTTTCTTGAAAGTAGCTAGTATTCTTGGGTTGTATTTTCCCTTCTAGTGTTTTTTGTAACGCTGGATTTATGTGTAGGTATTGTTGAAATTTGTTTTTGTCATTGAATATCTTGTATTCTCCATCTATGAGGACTGAGAGTTTTGCTGGGTATAGAAGTCTGAGCTGATATCCGTGTTCTCTTAGGGTTTGCATGATATCTGTCCAGGCCCTTCTGGCTTTCATAGTTTCTGTTAAAAAGTCAGGTGTTTGCCATTATTGTTACTTGGCCTTTTTCCCTTGCAGCTTTTAGTATTTTTTTCTTTGTTCTGTATACTTACTGTTTTGATTATTTTGTGGCAGGAGGATTTTCTTTTCTGCTCTAATTTATTGGATGTTCTGTAGGCCTCTTGTATTCTTATTGGCCTCTCCTTTATGTTGGGGAAATTTTCTTCAATTATTTTGTTGAAAATATTTTCTGGGCAGGGAATCTTCTTTTTCTTCTATTCCTATTACTTTTAGGTTTTGTCTTTTTATGTTGTCTTGGATTTCTTGGAAGGTCTCTGTCAGGAATTTTTTTGGCTTTAACATTTTCTTTTACAGATCCATCTATTTCTTCCATTGCAACTTCCACACCTGAGATTCTTTCCTCCATCTCTTGTAGTCTATTGGTTATGCTAACCTCTGTAGTTCCTGTTTTCTTCCCTAAGTTCTTTCTCTCCACAATTTCTTCCATTTGTGTTTTCTTTAATTTTTCCAATTCTATCTTCAGATCTTGAGCCATTTTGTTGATTTCCTCCACCTGTCTGACTGTATTTTCCTGTTTTTCCGTCAATTCCTTCCGCTGTTTGTTTGAACAATCCTCTGTTTCTTTTATTTCATACAGTGATTTAAGCATTTCCTCTCTAAAGACCACAACCTGTTTGGCTGCAACTTTCTTGTATTTCTTTACAGATGGCCATAATCTGTTTGTTTTTATCTTCCTCTATTTCTTTAAGGATGGCCATAATCTGTTTGAGTTTATCTTCCTCTAGGTCTTTAGGCATTTTATTTGTTTCCTCTGTTATCCTCTTCATGAGCATAGATGTTAAGTTATCTTCTTGAATTTCAATTATGCTGGGGTGTCCAGGGCTACTTGCCCCTGGATAACTGAGTTCTGGAGATGCCATATTGCTCTGTCTTTTGTTGGTTGAGCTTTTATGCTGGCCTCTACCCATTGGGCTATCTTATGTGTTTGGGATTAGTTTCTGGTGGTTCCTGGAATCCTGTGGTGGAGAGAATCCCCTTGGCAGGAAGATGGTTTTTTCTGACGGAAGCCTTCTCTGCTTTTTGGGTATAGTCACTGTATGGCCGGTGTTTTTCAGGAGTTGCCGCTGCTCACCTCAGGCATAGAGACCTGAGTGGTGACTGTGGTCCTTGTTAGTTGAGAGGGTGCTCCTCTCACCTGGAGAAGTCCTGAAGACAGCTGCCTTGCTTCTGGGTTTCTTGCTGTAGATTTAGTGATCTGCTGCTGTAACCTGTGTGTCCCATGATTTGGTCAGTTTTGTTAGGGATAACTGGTTGCCTCTTGGAGCAGTATGTGGGGGTTAATCTCGGGGATTCCAGGCTTTTGTAGGTCTGAGGTTGGGGCTCTGTGCCCCTGTACCCAAGCAGTAATCTGTGGCGGGTGGGTACCACTCTCCTTGTAACAGCAGTCTAATCTGGTGCACAGCAGGTCCCTGGGTTGGGCCGGTCTGCGGGGCTTTTTCCAGGGATATACTGGGTGGCCTAAGTCAGTCCCCTTTGCTTCTTTCCCTGTGAGCTTTTCTCCAGATAGTGACTCCCAGTCTCTGTTGTCTTGGGGCACACAGCTCTGTCTGTGCCAGAGAGCTGGGTGCGCAGCAACTATCTGTTCCCGTGGCTGTAGCCCAGTTCAGTGATGGCAGCTTGTACCCACCGGTCTGTGAGACTTTTTCCAGGGAAAGACTGGGTGACCCAAATCAGTACCGCGTTTCCTTTCTTACCTGTGGGGTTTTCTCGCAACTGGGACTCCTTGTCTCTGGTGGTTTTTTGTTGTTGTTGTTGTTGTTGTTTTTGTTTTTGTTTTTGTTTTTGTTTTTTTTGTGCCCACCGATCAGCCTGGGAAGGTGATCAGGACACGCAGGCGTGTGGCTCTGATCTGGCAACCTAGTGCCTGCACGACCCTGGATCTCTTCTGGGTTCTGGCTGGGTGACCTGAGAGTGGACCCAACTGATTCCCACTCCATGGAGTTTCCTCTCACGTGGGAAACACGATTGCTGTTGTTTTAGGGCCCAGAGTTCAGTCTTTTGGTTGATGTACGGAAAATGTCCTGCTCCTGAGACGCAGCAGTCTCCTGGTGCTGCCATCTTGTTCCCTAGATCTCCAACTTTTTGTTTCACAACAGTAACTAAGAGCAGCAAAAGGGAAGCAGGGGTGAAATTGTTCTTTATTCATGTTCCACTCTCTGGGCTCTGGCATTTATTCTTTCTCCAGAGTCCTCAGATTCAAACTACCTACAGTTGGCAAAGAGCTCCTCTCGAGCCCACATGAAGCAAATAGTCTGCTGCTGTGGACCATCTGAATTGGTCTTATATCCTACTCCTGGGACCAAAGCAAAAACATGTTTATATCCACAATACATGACCCCAGGGCCAGTTCTTCACTGCTGCAGGAGGTGAGGGGCGGGGAAGGTGAGGGCATTATACCCATGCCCACACAACCTCATGGCAGGTCTAGTGGTGGTGCCCGCTCTCTCATACTCTTACCTGCACACCACTACCACCAGGGTGAGCTTTGCTGTACTGTTCCTTTGAGGTGCAGGGCCTGCTCTCCTGAATGTGTAGCTGGTGAGAAGCAGGGTTAGCTCTCCCGCCCTCATGACCATGTGGACAGCTTTCCTAACAGCCAGTGGAACTGAGGAGTGGGGTGGCATCACCTCTGCGCCCATGCCATCCCATGGCAGATGAGTGGCAGGGTCAGATCACCCACATTCATGCCCTTGGTGCTATCTTACCTACACCCCACTGTCAGAACCATCTCCATTATGTTGCCTGGGTGAGAGGCAGGGCCCATTTTCCCAAGTGCTGCTGCTGTTGAGAGTTGGGGCTCACTCTCTAGAATGGTTCATCCAATGAGGGTTGGGGCCAGTTATGCACAGCCTCTGGACATCTACATGGCTGTGGATCTAGGCTGGCCATGTGGCTGGAAGGCCCATGGGCAGTATCCTACATCTGTGCTATGTGGTATGGTAGCAAGAGGGTATCATGGCCCAACTGTGCCATGCACTGGAGGGCAGGTCTCTGGATGGCATGGTGGTCTGCGAGTCTCTGTCTTCCTTCTCCTTGTTGCACTTCCTGAATTTGATTTGATTTCATTTTTTTATGAGTTCTAGGTATAAGACAGCTTTGGCCACCAAGTCAGACATCCAGCTAGGAAGAACAAGGACTACAATCTGCTCTGCCCCGACTAATATAAGAACACCACCAACAACAAGATGTCTCTTTGCCCATTGCCAAAGAAGTTTCTTCCATTTTTAATATTAATAATTTGTGATCTCTTTTTTTTCTTAATTAGTCTGGCTAGACACATGGTTATTAATTTTTCTCAAAGAACCTAATTCTTACTGTCTTGATTTCTTCTGTTGACTATATACATTCAATTTCCTTATTTCATGCTCTAATTCTTTTAAAATTAAATTTATTTTAATTTATACACAAAACCAAAAATTACAAATCCATTGGAAAATACATCATGTTTCAATACAGATATGCATTGGATGCTGTTTAGTTCAAGTTAAACATATCTATTATTTCTTTATGGTAAAAAGATATAATATAGTTTACTTTCCTGTTTTGAGGGTGTTGTCATATCTAGTTCTTCAACCTGGCAATACCACAGCAGAACTCCTTACTTGCATCTGAGACTATTACAGAAAACCACAACCAATGAAACTGCAGAGCTGTGGAGCTTATTCCCAACAGATACAACTACAGCATAACTTCTGTACCTAAGGCTCAGGGATCGTTGTAGAAGAGGGGCAGAAAGATTATAAGAGCTAATGAATCACGGATTTTTCTGTGAGACTGTGTCTCCTAAAAATGCCAGAAGTTACACTCATGATGTCTTGTGACTAACTTTGTAGAATGTATTTTATTAACCCTTTGTCAGTTGCCAATGACTTTTCTATCATCATGCCAAAATACTTAATGTGATCAATGTAATAAGGTAAAAGATGTTATTTGACTCACAGTTTCAGATTATCTTTTATATCCATTCTTATTTTATACATTTAAGTTGTACAACATAATGATTTTGGTATATGAACACGTATGGATATATACACATATATACAAATGGTTACTACCAACAAGCCAATTAATATATGTATCATCTCACATAGATGAAAGAGTTAACATTCTTGTGGTAGGAGCACAAACCTCTGATTTAAAAGAGAGTCAAATGCATTGAAACATAAGCAGAGAAGAAGTTACAAGGATTATGGGGGAAAGATGTGTACATATAAATCTCAGGTTACATGTTTTATGTGAGACGAAAAGTTTAGGGAGCTAATGTACAGCATATGGAATATAGTTAGTAATGTGTTGGGGGGCTGTAGAGGTGGCTCAATAGTTAATATCACTGGTTGCTCTTCTACACAGCCAGGTTCAATTCCCAGCATCCACATGGAGTCTCACAATCATCTGAACTCCAGTTCCAGGGGATCCAGTGCTCTCCTGTGAATTTTGAGGGCAACAGGCATACATGTGGTACAGAGACATACACACAACACATTCATGCACAGAAAAATAAAATCAAAAATGTTGTGTTTTATTAGTATGAATGGGTATGTGATATATGTATGTGAGCATGCAATCCATAGTGTGCATGTGGAGGTTAGAGGACAACTTTGTGGAGTAAATTCTCTCTATTCACTTTTACCTGGATACCAAGGGTCAGATTTGGGTCATAAGACTCATGTGGAAAGTGCCTTTACCCATGAAGCCATTCTAACTGCTCTCATTGACTTATCCACTTGAAAATGAAATTCTTCCATGAAAAATTTTTATGGCATTTATTTCTTTCAGCTTTCTTTGAGCTTCCACAATCTGTGCTTTTATGCCTGACCTTAGTATGGAAAAATGATTTTCTTTTATTAAAAAACAATATAAAACAGAATAAGTTGGAGTTGATTATTACTTTCCCCTAGAGCAGACTCTGGAAAAATTCTGGTAGGTTATCATTTCTTACATAGGTTATCCTGAAGTTAGAACATTAAGGAATAATTAATATAGTAGAGTTTTAAATGGTGACTATCCTTTTTTCAAGCCTAAACAATGAGGTAATTTCTCACTGACTTTCAGTGAGAATCTAATAGGTTAGCACAATAGTTCATGTGATTATTCACTAGGTTACAAATTTTGACATTCACCTAACATTTCCTCTCATTTAGAGCCTATAGTTTTCGCTAGATGTTCAACTTGCCAACAGTTTTTTTGTTTTGTTTTGTTTTTCTGTTTTTTAAGACAGGGTTTCTCTGTGTCGCCTTGGCTGTCATAGACTTGCTTTCTAGACCAGGCTGACCTTGGACTCATAGAAAGCCAGCTGCATCTGCCTCTTTGAGTGCTGGGATTACAGGCATCTGCCACAATGCCTAGCTTAGATATTCTTAAAAATGTTTATTTATTTGTTATTTATGTGTATCTGTGTGTCGCTGAGTGAGTTAATATACACTGTGTGCCTGCAGGAGGCCGTGGAGGACAAACATGGGCATTGGATCTACTGAAACTGAAGTTACAGGCAGATCTCATGTGGATGCTAGGAAATCATTCTGTCTTCTACAGGAAGAATAAGCCATATCTGCAGACATGAATTTCACATCTTCAGCCACTATCCATTAAAGGAGAAGATCACATTTTCTTATTGTATGACGCTTTTATGCTGCTGAACGTAGCTAACTAGTATTTTGACGAATTAACACATGAATTCTCTAAAATAGTGTCTGTTTATAGGTTTCGTTTTTACATTGTGTTTATCTGGTTTTGATAAATTAAACACTGATATTCACATGGCATTTGTCTACGCCCCTTCTTTACTTTTCTGCTCTAAATCAAAATTGTCAAACAAGACATACTACAAGTCACACACTATCTTGCTGGTCTCTAAATGGTTGAATACAAACTACATTCCAAATAAACCAAGTACATGGAAGTTCATGGCAGCAAGATATGAAAATCCATAGCTTAGAAACTTCCAAGTGACAATCAGAAGCTGAGCACATATACAGGCTTCTGGGTAACTATGCAGGAAAACACTAGACAGCAACGAATGCAGACAGAACCTTGACCAAAGCAATATAATAACGGAACTTGAAAATAATTATTATTAGGATTGAAAGAAGCCAGAACCTTCAAAAGGTTCCTACCGAGGCTTGCGCGCGCGTGAGTGTGTGTAACTGACAATCACCATTTGTGCCCGATTCCAGAAAATACAAAGAAGCCCTCATTTCCAGAAAGCATATCTGTGTTTACCTAGAGACAGGAGAGATTCAGGGGAGGGAGAGGGAAGCGTTGCTAAGGGCTCGAGAACATGTTTTCAGCTGTGGTGAATATTCTGCATGTCACGTGTCAAACCTACCCATTGCAGAATTGACATAGGAGCACTTTGTTGCATGTCAGAATTATCTCAATACAGCCTCGAAACGTCAAGGGAAGAAAAGCCATGAAAAATCTCATTAAGCTGAGGGGAAACAGGAAGTCACTGGACTTGTCATTGTCATCTATAAATAAAAAGAAAGAGGGACTGCGGGCTGCAACAACATCAGGAGAAACAATGATAGAAATAGCACAAACCTGAGGCCAAATGAGAAAAGCACAGCTCTGGGAAGCAAATGAACTCCAACCAAACCTGCATGAAAGGCCCAACACCTTCCAAATGAGGAATACAGAGAGACTGCTAAGGCAGGGTTCTCTTTTCTGTTGCTGTGATGAAACAGTGTGACCAAGGCAAATCGGGGAAGTGTCCTAGAGCTTCCCTGCAGTTTCAGAGGATTAACCCATGGCTACCATGGCTGGGAGCACCGCAGCAGGCAGGCAGGCAGGCCTGGTGCTGGGGCAATAGCTGAGATCCTATGGCTCAGAACTTGATCCATCAGGCTGGGGCATAGAGAGGACCAACTGGGAATTTGTATGGGCTTGAAGACCCATGCAAAGCCACAGATTCCCGTGTTCTCTGTAACCTAGAGGATCTGGAATCTGTGGGGCTGCTACTCATTAACTAGCTGTGCAGCTGTGGCCTTTGTGGTGACAGCATGGGTTAGCTCAGAGCAGAAGAACATGGTGGTTTCCATGACCCATAGAGGAACAAGACTACCCTGTGTTGAATCATACCCCAGATTCTGCACTCAGGCCAGTGGTTGAATCACAGGATACCACAGTCTTGTCAAAGGTAAAAATGAAGATGTTGTGAACACCAATTCCATAGGCTGTTACAAGCTGAAGAGTCTAGTGATCATTTGTCTGCCTGCCTTTTCAGGATTTGTGCAAATAGAAGTCAGAGGCAGAAATTATATTTGGTGATTCAGACATTGATTCCAAATTAAACTCGCATGTCTCAGACTTTGAGATGATCATGGGACAAGGAAAAGGATTAAGATACAACCTTCAACGAGAGTTCACCTCCTTTATGCCTTTTGGACAATACAGGTTTAGAAACGACTTGACTGAATGAGACCTTAGCACATTGTGGGAGAGTCAAGGTTCAATCTGTTAGGCAGACTGGAAACTTAATTGCACAACAATCTGTAATAGTCACACTTTAGAAAAGCATGACTTGTCCCTGCATAGCCTTAAACATCAGTAATGCAGTTCCAGAGATGCCACAGTAGCATCAAAATGCCCCCAGTACCTTTGCACTGCAGCAAAGCATCACTTTTTGCGAAGCGTGTCCAGATGTGTCCCAGTAAGATTCTGAAAGTAAACACAGAAAACAGTGCCCACTCATGAACAACTGTGTTGAGCAAGTAGGCAGCTTCACAGCCCTTGGGAGGAGAGAAGTGCCAGGTTTTCATATGCCCAATCTGCTAATTTCTTGAACCCCCAGAATCAAGGGTGCTTAAAGTTGCTCTGCTTGGGAAAAGATCTACAGAGGGTGTGAGCTAAGTGAGTTCAGACCAGAGAATCAGGCAGTAGCCTGGAGTGAAAAGTGGCCTTTACCAAGGACAAAAGCCAGGAGATCAGACTCCCTCTGTACTGACACATTGATCCTGGTCAGAGGGAAACTTCCAGGCTTCCTAGTGTACCAAAAAGAAAAGTCACTGGCTTCAAAAACCAGATAAACAGGCCATCCTCTGGACAGAGGGAGATGAGATTAATAAGGAGTCTATTGTATTGGGCATTGAATGGACGCCAGGCATGGGTGAAAAACACTGGCCATACGTGACCACTTTTCAGGCTCATAAATATCTTTTTGTACAGCCCAAGACTCCAAAGCTAAGGAAAAGAAAAGAGAGTATAGTAACGCAT